TATATTTATTATTATTATTTATTATTTTTATATTTATATTAAATTATATATTCTATTTAAGAAAACGTGTTTTCAATGTTTTTTTTATAAAATATGTAACATCTGTCCAGTAAGTAAAAAAAAAAATAAGAAACTTAGTTCATGCTTAAAATGTCACCGATATTAAAAGACATAATTTCCCGGAAAAGTGATAAGATTTGAAATTTTCTCGCCCTCGTAAATTCGTGACTAATCGTAAGACGAGAAAACTACTTTATTAAAACTCGTAGATTTGTTCGAAAACCGTGAGAATCGAAAGTAAAATTATAATAATTGACGATTCGATTATTATATATCATAACACCCTATTCAACGATGGCATAAATCAAATTTAAATAATCAAATCACCCTCCTATCAAAATTAATCTAAATATAGAAAAATTAACAAAAGGATGGAGAATATGAGAATAAAGTAGTCAATATCTTTAAAAAAAAAGAAAAAATTCATCCCATTAATAAAACATTAGTTGTGAATTTCAATAGACGGGATAAACATTCGTTATTCAAAGGGGCAAGATCTTCTCCTCCGTCATGTTCCAATTCCCACCGACTTCTCGACACTGGATTACATTTTAATCTTATACTTTTATCCGGGATAAGCCCGCGTAAATTCTTCGTTATCGCGGAAACGAAACCGTGGCGGATTCAACCAGAGAGATTCAACCCGCCTAATACCCGTGCTAAACTTTAAACCGTTGCCAACCATGTTTCCAAAACATGATTCGTCAAGATCGTTTCGTGATCCCTAATTTTGACATTCGTCACTTCTCGTGACACGACCCAATTCTTGCTCCTGAACTTTCCCATGGCTAATAGGTAATAGCCGGCCAGAACATCGTACAAGATCCCGCAAAACTTATCGAACGTCGCATAATTATAGATTAATTCGGCCGTCACGCAAACGTTCTACTATCAGTCCGCACGAACTTCGTGGAATCGATAACGCGACCGATAAACTAGCGCGTTTATTAGATTTATAGAGAGGAATAGAAGATTGATTAAAAATAAACGATATATATATATATATATATTATTCTCTCAAAAATATAAAATAAAACGGCGTACTCTAATATCTCTCGAAAAATAATCCCTGAATCCGAAAAAATAGTCACGTTCGTGTTATAAACCGAGCAAGCACGCCTGTTAAGAACAAATGTCGACGAGGTAATGTATCATGGGTAAAGAAAAACGGAATAGTTGGTATGTGGTCGCCAAGCATTGTTTTCCTACGTGTGTGCGGGACGAATTTAAATCTGTAATCGTGGCACGAACTTGCTTGTGCAAACGTGGCCACCCGTTAAACAAATGGACATTTTCATAAACGGTTGTAAATTAGTTGGACACGAAAACGGATATTCTATCAGCTTCTCTCCATAAGCTTCGAATCAGAACTTGCAAAGAACTTGTAAAATGAAAAATCTCTCTGGTATTAATCGTATTACGATTATTCTCGATTTAAATAAATTAATCATTCGCGTGACGGATCAAAATTTCGAATAAAAGTTTTCCTATTCTTTTGTCGTAGTGAGTTAATCATACATGATCCTACAAAATCCTTTCAAAATAAAAAAAAAAATTCGGGATCGCAGTTAAGTAAAATATATACGGAAAATAAATACAACGACAGATTAAACTGTCACGTACGATTTTACACCCCTCTCTGTCGACCCACGGATCTCACAACCCCATGCGTCACAAATCACGGGGTATTCGCGCAACGAAAAATCCACGGCAGAAACGAGAGAAGGAAGATCTTGCTCGCGGGGCAAGAATTACGAGGAAGGGGAGAGGAGGGTCGACGGATCGAGGACAAAATCGATAAGCGTCGTGCGACCATGAATCAACGCCCGATGTGTTTAGACCGCCTGCGGGATTTGGCAAAGGATCCCGCAGGATAATCTCGGCGAAACTCACGAGGGTGTACAACACGTGCGGAAAGAAAAGGATAAGAAGAACGGACACTGACACTAGTCTAACGTGTGTAAAATTTAATAAGATACACGGAAAGGGATGAAACAATATGTGCAAAATGAAAAATTAAATTTAAAGAGAAAAAAGGAGGAAAGATAGATATAGTGTGGTAAAAAAAAATTGGCCCTTTTCTTTTAATAAGTAAAAGTTTAATATCCTGAAAATTCTGTTTTTAACGAAAATTTGTACGTGTATAATAATTTTAGCATCTTTTCGTTATTTGCAATCTTATTCTTTCATAACAAAACGATGGAATATTCTAAAACATTTTTGTAATTTAAAATATCGGTCGCTATTTCAGAATATTTTAAATAATATTAAAATGTTTCACTTGTTCACAGATTCATCGTGTTCATTAAAAAAACAAAAAAAAGCAGAGAATTATTCAAATATTTTCGTAAACAGTACGATAAATTGGAAAAATATATTTAAAAAATTAAAATATTATTCAATCTTTTCACCTTAGAAATTTCTTCAACGTTTCAGCCTTCAGTGATTCATTGATTCTTTGACCTAACCTGAAACAATATTTCATCCCCAATTTTAAGACCCAACGAATATATTTTCCCCTTCCACCCTCTTTCCAAGATCAACTACGAGATTGGGCTTGACGACCAAGTATAAAAAACGTGGGAAAATTTGCAAGCACTAGAGAAGACAGGTGAAAAAAAAGAGGTTGGAGAAAGATCTATCAAATATATCGTTTGAATTTATCTCTTTCATCTTATTCATTGGATACATAAACCGAATAAGTACCAGAAATTAATCATTTTGATTGTTCACGAGTTTTTCAAACGAAAGATTTTGTTGTTGAAGAGCTCGAAATTATCGTACTTATTTCATATTCTATGTTCGTTTCTACCTTGTCTGGTCGTTGCTACCTCATTCTACTTTTAGAGCTTTACTCAGACAAGTGGAATAAGAATATTGGAATAAGATCTCGAAAATCACATCACTTGTACATTTCTCTCCTTTGTATATCTTGAACGTTGAGTAATAACAGGGATAAAGATATATTGCGAAAAATGTGTAATAGAATAACGCGTTATCAAATATTAATATAACGAGGAGAAGAAGAAGAAGGAACGAAGGATGTTTGGATTAAAAAGGAATAAAAAACTTCCAATATTTTTCCATTAACGAGACTTATTGTTTCGCGAAAAACGTGCTGGCTGACAACATACATGAACGCGCGCACTCCGCTCCTCCTGATTCCGCGTGGAGCCAGCCAGATAAAAACACAGGGAAAGAACATTCTGCGCGGTGGAACGTGGCGAATCCTGTATTATCCAGTGGTCGAGTGAGCAAAGTGAAAAGTTGCCGCGAAAGAACATTTTCCGGCGGATATTCGCGAGGTCGAACGAGTCATTTGTACATAGAAAAATTCACGAACGGAAATTTAAAATTTATTATAAGTACGCGAAGAAAAAATTATAAAAATTGTTTTACACGATTGGATAAATATTCGAAAATTAATTTTGAAAATCTTTTAAAAGGTATCCAAAGTTTATTCGAAGTTAAACTATGATTCAAACGATAATTGAAAAAAAGAAAAATAAGGAAATGAATATATGATAAGGAATTATCGAAAATGGTATTTAAAATTCTTTCTTAAATTTATCCTTTCTAAAGTATACATTTAAAAACATTCCTCTTCCTCGTGATTCTTTCCGCCGCGCATGCATTTTTCCTTCAAGAAGGTGCCTGCGTTTCTGAAGCTGGAAACGGTCCAGAGAGATATAAGAGATTCTGAATCGAACTTTGGTCGTTAGATACACGTATGCATCAAGGATGACGCATCATCCATATTTATCACCCTTGTGAAATGAAATTTTCTTATCCATCCAAATCGTTTACAGATATTCATTGGCATCAAGTGACTTGCAAATTGTAAAAAATTTCATCAACGATGCAACTCCAATAAAATTTCAATCCACTGTTATCATCTTTATATCGAGATGGAACGACATATTTTCGCCTGTCTGTAAATATATAACATGATCGTCGTTGATAAAATCCTTTTCTTACCCGTGATTCATCGCATTATTCGCATTATTAAACAGCATCATTTATATTCATGTTGCATCTCGTAATTTGTAAGCGTGTGGAAAATCGGAGGAATCTTAAACGTAGCGATTTTCGAATCATTTCCATCTACTCGTAATTTCGTACGATATTTCCATGATTCTTGGACCACGGAAATACGGATGCATGATAAACTACGAATTCTGGAAATGGTCCAGAAGGGGAAGAATGAAAGATCAGATCTGAATTGTTCCTCGATCGTTGGATGCACTTACGCGTGAACAGCTCGATCTATTGTGAATATTTATTGGCTCTGTAAAATATTTGGAATGGTATGGGGATGATGTTTAGTTTCATCCATTATTGAATCTAGGTCGGTTTAATTTGCGGTCAATATTTTTGTAACAAAATTCCAGAATAGTCAAGTAACTTTTTATTCTTCAATATTGCTCAATAATATTTTGGAATGAGAGAAATTTAATATCTTTATAATATGTTTTCAAATCAAACGTAAGAAAGGAATTGAAAACAAAGATATTATGATTGTAGAAAAATTCCATATACAGTTTCTTGGCATAATAAAGAATACCAATAATCTTGATGAAATGAATTGACAAAAATATTATTTCTTTTTCAACTATTATTTCTCTTCTTAATTAAAATTTTCTCTCAAAATTTCCTTTTCACAAACAGAAAACAGAAATTATTTTAATCAAATATTACAACATTCTTTAAATTAATGAAACTAAAAGACTGATAACATTAAATAAATTAATTATATATATATATATATATAATTTTGCAATAAAACGAAATAGAAAAATATATTAAATATATTTTTTACATGTAACAGATAATATTATTACTTCAACATGTATGCCAAGATGCAATGTCTATACACTATCCTTCTAAAATCAATTGACTTAACGATGACAATATCTTAATATCCCTTAATGAAATTTCAGCACCATCCGTCCAAATAGTGGACGCCCTGGGTGAACCTCTGAGAGACAAGTATTATGAGGCTGACAGCACTATAGAGCTGTTATGCGTTGTGCGCCACATAGCAATGCAAGTGCAATACAGTGTCGTGCAGTGGCTTCATGGCAACAGAGTTTTGAACTACGACACGACGAGAGGCGGTATCAGGTGAGTCAAATTATTTTGTTACCATTTCTTTTTTTAAAATAATTTTAAATAGAAGAAATCTTTGTCCCATCGAATTTATTAAAATTATAAATCTACCACGCGTGTTTGTAACTAAAAGATTCATAAATACGATTCATAAATTGCATTCTTGGAATTAAACAATCGGTAACCCGAGCCAATCTTTCAAACTTTCCAATATTCTTCGAACATGGGTAAGGGAAGAGTACGTAGAAAGATGAAGTTGAAATTAATTTCTATGCAAATGATTCTTAAAAATAAATTCAACGGACGCGCTTGGAACGGATATTAAAGAACTGAAAAGTTTAGCAATGGTTCGACAACGTAGATCAAGATCTCTAACATATTTTCCTCGATTGGAAAAAAAAATTGGAATCGATCTCATTTCGCCTTCCCTCCTCCTCCACCGACGAGTAAATCTGTATATGCAAACGAATTCATTCTCTAAATCCCACATAACTTCAAACCTTCTTCAAACAAAATAAACGCAAGACAAAAATTCGTTTCAAAATTTAAATTAAAAAAATTAGTACAACAAATATACGTACGTCTAATTTACATATTTCTTCTTTTTCGAAATCTTAACAATAATTCTCTAATATATTCAGAAACCAGTAGTATATTTCTCACGATCACATTTACCCATTTCCACAATTCATTATACATCCCTCTGTCAGATCCACCGATCTGCCCTAATTCCAATTCCAAACGAGGAAAAAGAGATATCTCCCTAAAAAGAGGACGGTAACGACTGCACATAACTCAATACATCCCCGTGCATCAATCCTCCTCGAGAATCCATCCATCCTTCGCACGAGTCAAACACGACAAAACACCGGTGACGTTCGAAACGCAACGATGCACCTCTCCATACAACCACGATTCGAAACCGAACACCGAGATATCTTCAACTGTCTGATTGCGACCTGAGGCAAGCGTACACGCCACTTGGCATTCCGTGGATACGAGCGATCGTAACCACGCCGCGACACGTCATAAATCATGCACGATAGTCGGTTCTCGGAACCGACAATCCTCGGAACATCGATGCCAGAATGGCTTGTTCCGCCAAAGTTATAATCCAGTGTCAACAATCCGGCCGCCTTTCCACCCACATAGATTCATCCAACCCCTTAATTCCCCGTATAAACCAACCACAGCCTTGAAAATACCGATCGTGAAAATACCATCTCAGACAAACACTGATGAAAAATTAATATACGTAATTAATTAACGCACGAGACATTATTCTTGTAATGTAAAAAGTTTATTCGGAAATAGAGCAAATAGAGACGCTAATAACATTGAAATATTAACAAATGTTAATCTTCCATTAGTATAAAAAATAAATAAGAAATTGTCAAGTTTGGCTGATTTATAACATTTTCTTTCATTCAAGCATCTCGCTCAAAATTACAAAATAAAAAACATCCGCGTACGATACCTTTTCTTTCTTTTTTTGATAATTTATAATGAAATGTAATATAATAGCACAGAAAAGGAAACATAATTCGCAATGTAAATCATTTGAAAAAACATTTGCATAAGGCATTGCACGATTCTCGAGTCGAAGATCGTAAGACGATCCTCCGCGCCATCTAGGGAGGAGGCGACACTAAGCCGAGTGTGACGCTTAACGTTTGAACGACAGTGTTGCAGCGGGAACTAGAATGTTTCTCGCATCGCGGAAACGTTGTTGGTGCACTCGACGTCCCGACAAAGTTACAAGCCGTAGACACGGTGGTTGCCGGTAAATGGAATTAGTTTGCACTCAGTGGCAGGTACATAAAGACGCGTGTACATAGAGGCTCTCGTAGCATCCTCGTGGGCACGACCACTTCAACCCCTTTCGTACGTGGCAACCACGTGGCCCGTGGAAACCGCGAACCGTAACCGCAGGAAACACCGTTTTGCCGCTCGTTATTTTTCTCCAGGAAGATAACTGTCCATCCCCTCACCGTGCAAAATGCGAATTTATCCGTCGCCACGTTTATTCGACTGCCGAGCTTTTAATTAATTGCTCGCGAGGTGTTCGACGCGTCGAGGATATCGGAGATGAGAATATCCGGTTACATCGATCGCTGTGCGAGGATTGGTGTGACAGAGATTCAAAATAAAAGTGGGTTTAATTTCTTAAAATATTTTAAGAATTTTTGTAGTTATATTCGATTTATCTTTAAGTTTAGAAGATTAGAGAATTGTTTAGATATTATTATATGTAAGATAATTTGGGAAAGATAAATAAATAAGGTTTTATTTTTAATTGATAAGGAAAGGTAAATTGTTTTATTATTTTGTTTTAGGATTTTCTAGAGTATGAAAGAAATGAATAAAAATAAGATTCTGTGAATCGTAAAATTATAAATTCGAAGTGTATACTTTTTTTCGTAATGTAAGATAAGACAAGGGAAATTCAAATTGGAAGAAGTCATGCTACATTTTACAATAATACTCGATCTTAATTCATCAGCATACTTAAATATTTATAGGCTCGAATTCCGTGTTAATGGATAACATTTATGACAATGTTAATTAATGTTTCATTTCTTCCGGCAACGCTGATACATTAGTTGGAAAAGCTAATATACTAAAATAGACATTGTACGCAATATAATATCCATATCATCTAGGAAAAAAACTCGTGAACTTGATGTTGCATTTAACGATAAATGTATCTTTTTATAACTTTTATTAACATAGTAATTTGTACATTGAATGAACGTATGCAATTCATATATTTGTATATTAAAAATTAACTTGTTTTCATTATATTTTTCATACGACATAATATTTTCTTATTTTATTTTATAGGCTCTCGTGATTATTTATTACGAGATGTGATGATACAAGGTGTTATTAGTAAGTTTCAATTTGCAGTTTCCTGCAATGATACAATATTCGAGATACTAACGAGATTTCGACAAAACAAACTACAATATTTGTCGAATATCGTTAACCTGTGAAATTCTAAATGTAATTTCGAAACTATATGCCAACTGGAGTGGATATCGCACATATTACATACATAAGAGCTAGAATTGGAGAGAAAATCATACTACAAATTGAAATTAAATATTTGCTTTAATCAATCCAATAATAATACTCCATATATTTAACACACTTTAACTGTCCTATTGTTTTACGAAATATTTCGAGCAACATTTTTATTGATTGTTCATTCGCGAGATAATTCATTTAAAAATTGTTGGCCACAACAATTTTTATTTATCCAGACAATATTATAAAATATAATATTATATTTTAGAATTTTAGAATTACAAACGATTGCATCAGGTAATAAAACACACTTGTCTCGTTAATTAAGATTTTAATTACTAACAAAATCATTTCACGCGAATTAAATGGCAAATGTGATTACAGCCACGTTGATTGGATTTTCCAAACGTTTAGAAATCGCTATCGTTAATTCGCATTGATTTTAAATCATCAGTTTTAAAAGTGGATCAAACACATCGTAAATAGCTCCCGTGAAAAGCCGCTCTCATTTGTTCGAGCTATTTCACGGATAATATCGTATAACAACTATTGATTTTTGAGTGAGAGAAAAAGATAACAAACGGTGTTATTCATCTCTATCTCTAAACTTCTCCAAGAGAATAAAGAGTAACATTATCAATTGAGAAACTTTTAACAAAATTGTAATACGTTCTTCTTCCTAAAATTAAAGCAAAAAGAAGCCAAATTTCGACAAATAATTATATCCAAATATTATCGGATTTAATACAGGATTCAAGAAACGAAGCAAAATTGTTAAATTTAATAAAGATCAATACTTCTTTACTTAGAAATCTTCATTTATAAAAAAAAAATCACGCAATTCTTGTATAACTTATATTTAAAAAAAGTATAATACTCAATTTTTGATATAACAAAGTTGAGTGAATTCAAAATATTTTTATCCATACAAAAATTTCTTAAAATAATATATTAAATAACTCAAATTTATTATTTCCAGATAATTATCAACGATATTATTCATATTCTTGAAAGTGTATTTACATTCAAACACTATCTCCTCATTAACTTTCTTCGGTAAAAATCTCTTCTCGACATCTCTATACAACCGAGTTATAGTTTAAAACAATAGCGAATGCGATTAAATCATTCGTACGCTAGGACGCGTTAATAGGGCCGCGATTCAATCCCCCCGTTTATTATATATTCGCAGCCATTTTTCATCCCGTTTAAAATTACAGACTCGTGACAAATTTACACCGTCGTGGAAGCGTTAATCCTGTTAACGCAATTTCGTGGAAAAATGTTGGACAATCGAACGAAAGGGAGAATGAAGAGGAAAGGGAAAGAATAATGGGGAAAAGTATTCGAGATGGCGGTATATTAACGCGAAACTGAAAGAAACCAGGCGAGAGGATCGGGGGTTGCTTAACGCCATGGATCAACGAGCAATCGTGCTCGGGAGGAGATAACGAACAACGGACAAATTGCAGCCTGTGAAAAGTTTTTCAATTAAAGGCCACCTTCTGTGTTTCGCGTACAAAAAAAAAAAAAAGAAATAGAAAGCATTTATCATTGGGTTTAAACAATTGAATAAAAAAAAGGGAGAGGTATTGTACTTTTTCATTTATCATTAATAATCTTGGATAAGTTTAAAAGGGGAATGAAAAATGTGAACATAGGGAGAATTTCAATTTTGTACGAAAAGTGCAAATTGTTACTAGACAATTGCTAGATATTGTCATGTAAAATGAAATGTTTTAAGAGCATAAATTTTGAACCTTGATTTCTGTAGTATATTTTACATGATATCCCAATTTTAAAAATTCTCTATTTTCAGAGTTCAATTTTCATACAATATTTTATGTAAATCGTATTCTATGTAATCTAGATATTCCATTTTAGTAAAATAAGGTATCTTGAGAATTCGATTTTTATGTAATACGATACATGGTATGATTCTATATAAGGTGATATTTTGAAAATTTGATACCTCGTGCAACGGAGTATTTTATAAACTCGATTTTTATGCAACAATAGAACTTATGATGCTACATTTTAAAAGATTCTAATGTAAAGAGATTTTTTTTTTAAATTAACATACCAAATTAAAAAAAAATTGTATTATATATAAAATGTTAATCAAAGTGTTTAATAAAAAGGGAAATAAAATTTTTATTATCTTTTTTACTAGAAATTCGTAGAAGCACGGTGAAACGACAGCACGGCAAGGATAATTAAACGAAATCGAATGAACATTTAAAAGAGATCTTTTGATACATTTTCTTCATTCTTTCAAATGATTATTAAATTTTTTATGATGCACTCGGCATAAACTGATCAGCCTGCAGTTTATTGCACAACTTTATGACATATAAATTGTTAAACGATAATTATATAATAATTTTCGAATAGAGAATAAATTAATTTCACAATTTGTAATATAATTATAATAATAATCAAAAAAAATTGTTCCAATATACATTAAATTATATACATCACCATCCAATTACCAATGAAATATTCTCTACGAATATTGATAATAAGTGTAAAACAAAACTGCCCCTAGTAAAGCAATAATCATACCTGCACGCCACGATGAAAACGATAGCCTAATATTTATTGCCATGGAATAATTGCTTTACACGCGCACTTTACGTAAGCATCATACGTAATCTTGAAACGATCAAACCTAGTGATTTATTGCTTTACAGCCGCCCTATCATCATAAGAAATTCTTTTGCAATGTCGTTCTGTTCGTGCATGTAGGAAAATAACACTGTGTTCCTTGTCAGATAGAGCAAGTGGCAGATCCATTACGGAGTAATACCACTTGTAGATGTTCTACTTGCTTTTATAAATTATTTAAATCGAGATTACACAGTTTTTTTTTATCTTCTTTCGCATTTTAATCCATTAATAACACACAATGAAGTGTATAAATGGATTATTATTAATGAATCTACCAATTTTTATTTATTCATGAAACTTTTTTTTTGTTTTTTTAATAGGATGGAATTTTTATTCAAATTTACGAATTAATAAATTCGTTTATTTCATACTGTTACATTTAAATTTTCTTTTTTATATCGATAGAATTGATCGGTGAAGGGAATATCTGTGCGAATTGATTTTATATTATATGTATATGAATTTTTTTTTTAATTTTCTCCGAGACTATTCGGGAATAAATTGGTAACTATTATACGTATCCCATATTCCCAGAACGATCAAAATTCTATATGGTAATACTTTCCAAATAGAACTTGATTACATTCATATTTTCCCAATGCATATCAATATCTAATTTTACTTCGATTCAGCATTAAATATATCACGTGCTATATTATCACTCGTATCATAATATTTTAAATCACTTCATTTATCTACGTTTCACGATTCAATTCACGATTTTATGGGAAAAAAAAGCAAAATTTTATCATATTTCCAAATTTGGAAAATATATATAATATAAATAATGTCTTGGAAAAAGTTAAAGATCCTAACAATTAATAATAATAATAAACAAAAAGAAACAAATTGGAGAGCGATTAGAATTCTCTTTCATAAAATTTTAATATTGAAAGATTCATGTTTTCTCTTCTTTTTTAAAAACCAAGCGAATCGAGTTTTTTCGAGGCAAGGAAATAAAAGAGAAACTCGTCGTTTGTTTTACCCAGAGTGTCATCCGTGCCAAAATCGAGAGTTAAACGCGCGATAAAACGAAAAAGAGTGGTCGATGACTGCGAGAATGCAGTCGAATAAAAGTCTACGATCCCTGAAAAATTGGGCCGAGCATTTTCGTCCGATGAAAAAATGCCTGTCAGAGATTGGAAATTGAAATTTCAACACCTATGTTCCAGCGTGAAAACGGACCTAATGGAAGAGGGGGCCAATTCGACTCTCAGCATAGCGAGGGTGGGACCAGCTGACAGCGGAAACTACACGTGCCATCTAACCACCATGCCCGATCAACCTGCCACCGTTCATGTGCATGTGCTGAACGGTGAGTACAAGCAATTTTCCAACGATTTATCCCCAATTTTTAACGTTTCGTTGTCGGTAAATTTATCGCAAAAACTATTGAAGTAGTTTGGACCTTATCTCGAGAAAAATCTTAAAAGAGTGACTTACAGACTTACAGATAAATTGATAAATTTTCTTGGTATTCGATTTGAATATCTTATTATTTTATCGCAATTATTGTTGAAGTTTGAATTTAATTTAATAATCTTGCTTTGTTATTAAGATATTAATTTTCTTTCATTTATATTTTAACTGTAATATTTATAATTATTAGAATTTAGAAAAGTCAGTAGATATCTTATCTTTTATTAAGAAGATAATTTTCTTCGAATTCTTTACGAAGATAAAAAAAGTTCTGTTTGAGAGATGTGAAATAAATTTTGTAAAAGTTAGTAAAGTAGTAGATTTATATACGATGAACTTTTCTCTGAAAATTCTCATAATGCGAAAGGATCAGGAAAAATTACACGACCATCTTTATAACGATGTCAAAATGAAAGTCACGTGGGCAACTAAGTATCGTGTAATATTTATGCATATTACGCTTAATTATAGGTGAGCGTGACGAAAGAAGTGAACGAAGTATCGCTTCCACTAACGGCTGTTGTTAAATTACAAGAAATTTAAATGCATTGCACAAAGAAGGACTGATAAGATATATCAGAAATTATCACCATTGATTTTTGCAACATAGATTTAAAGTTTAAACTCTACTATTAAATTGGAAACTTTGCTCTAAGAGCTATATCAATTTTTTTTATCAAATCTTCGAAATTATTATACATAAATTTTATAAAAAAATTGAAAAATATAATATTATTATTCATTCTATCTGTATAACATGATATTTACAAGAAATTACAAGAAATGTACATTATAAGAAAGTAACAAATAAAATGTACAGAAACATTTGCTTTATCAAGTAAAATAAAATATTTTCCAAGAAGCATCAACTTTCTTATTAATAAATTGAAAAATTATATAATAATGTTAATTATTGGAATACTATTTCTTCAAAAAAGTTTTAATAACTCTTGATGCTGAATTCTAGCTCTAGACCTTTCAATTAATTCAGAATAATAATGGCGCGCGTTAATTTTAGCTCTATTATCCACAAAGCTATTACTTTTTACAAAAGAACTGATTGTATCGAAATTTAAAATAGCAAATTCCTGACAAAACCTTGACAATTCTATTAAACGTCAACACTCTATTCGTTCTATCGTTTTTCACTTGTGCTAAAATGCAAATTGTGCGAGAGAGAATGTTTCTATACCCTTTCAAAGTTAAAAAGCTCAGATTGTACTACAAATAGTTATTATAATATTTGTATAACATTTATTATTCTTCTATTTGATTACAATATTTTCAATCTTAACTTAAAAACTTAAACTCAATACTAATTCATAAAATCTTTCAGAACAGATACAATTCAAAGAAGTCAAAAAGAATCGAAAACAATTCAACGATTAATTTTTTCAAATCATAAATTATTGCGCCCAATTGATATCTCGAGATATATACCCACCACTAAACTCAAGAACAAGCTTCGACAGGAAATGATAATTACCCCAGAACAATGTGGATGAAAGTTGGCGGTATTTGAGTGTACGTACCGGTGTTTCAGGAGAAAGCTTAGCCGAGCTGCATCACGGTTCCGCAGAGGTCGCCAGTAACGGTTCGTTGCTGCTCCTCTTATGCGTCTTTCTCGGTCGGATACAACAGGTGCTGAGATGAAGGATCGACCAGTTTCGTCGCTTCCTCGCCGCATCACAATACACAGAACTTTTATATTATCGTTGGGAGAATGGACGTGGCCATACGTGAACAAGAAACGTGAAAAAACGGACGAGAGGAGGGCGGTGAATGCAAAAAACTTGAAAAGTTGAAACTCTGCGAGAGGAGAATGGGCTTGAGGCGTGGGGAAAGGTTGGCAGCATTGGTCCGCCATTGTCTTTCTGCGTCGCTCACATCCTTGATTCCATCTGTCAACTTGTCAGAGCGCTTCGACTTCGCGTTTTTTGTCCTTCCAGCTAGTGGAGCACTGGTGGTTAATCGGAAGCTGATGAATCATCCTGGGAGGAGGAATTTGTCGATGATTGGTTGGGTTCGAGGACCCAAGAAGATTGAGAGGTTAAGATTCGTCTTGTGCCTTTATATTTCGGTTTTCGGGGTAGTTTGGAGTTTAGTTTCGATAGGGTGAAATTAACCCTTATGTCGATATTTTGAGTATCTTTTGTTATTTTTTACAGTGAAGGGGAAGATACTTGGATTTTCTTTTTTATTTATTTGCACAAAATTCTAAAATATTTTCAATTTCAATTTAATTATTATTTAATTTATATTCTTAGATTGGAAGTTAGATTTTTAGGGATTTTTTTGATTATTGAAATTTTACAAGTCGAATAATATCGATAATTCGGTCAATATTATTGATATAAGGGTTAAGAATAAATTAATTTAAGATAAGTTAGTTGTACTAATCCAAATATGATGTATACATTTCATATCCATTTTAGGTGTAAATGTCTCGCAACCTAACGTGGATGTCAGGTGCATATCTTTTACTAAGTTAATTCGTATAATTGAAAGTATCATTCTCATTCATTCTACATTGATCCTGTATGATAAATCTTGAAATCATCGAATGCATAATCAAGTTTATGATAATAAATAAGTACGTACAGATTTAATACGTACGAAAATATAGAAATATATTACAATTTTGACATATCTTCTTGTTCAACGCTCGGATAGACTGAATTACCAAGTAATTAGAAAAGAGAAAAAACTTAACACATTCACCGTCTATATTTATATTATAAAAGAAAAATGTTCTTTCTTTTTACGTTAAAATCCTTAGAATTACGAATTAAAAATTAAAAATTATCTTAACCTTCATATGAATGGATAGTAAACGTGTTAAGTTTCATCGAATAATCAATCATTCCATACTTTTATATTTATTTCTCCTTCATTTTATACAGAGAAAAATGATAGGAACATGGATTATCATAGAATTCCTTATTTCCTCTTTTTCAACTGTTCCGTAATTTTATAAGTCTAAAATGAAAAAAATATTCCATATTTCCATCACTTTCTCTGTGTTAAGCATTATCGAGAACCAATACTAAAAAATATTCAAAAGAATCATCGATAAAAAAAAAGAAACCTCTCGGCAATCAGAATCATTCTACCGTGCAAGGAAACAAAAAAAAATCGAAGCACAATATGTAACTAAAAATTCCTTCCTCCCTGAAATTGAAACATTTCTTCCCCAAATTTTTTAGGGGATTTTGTTCCCGGCAAAAATGCAGAAAAAAAGAAACTTCCGCAAAAAGTCGGTCCTCGATCGAATTTCCATAAACGCATTCCACAATCGTCGAAGCGTTCCAAATAAGTGTCGGGTGCAGGGACGTCGACAAAGGAAGTACGAGCCATGCGCCACCGATTTCCTGTAGGACGCGTGTCGGTGAAGTTCGATTATGCCCGGAAACCACCTCGACGCCCCTGTATTTCCTTATTCACTGCCGCTCCACATCCTTCTTGAGAAGCAAGTTTTATGGGGCACGATGATCCTTCTGAACGATCCTATCTTGACGTGTGTTCGTCGAAAAAAAAAAAACAGTCGTGATAAAGTTATATCATACATCGATGATCGAGCGTCTTAGGTATTTGTACGCGTATTTATTTCGAAAATTGAACGATTCGTTGCGAGGATTGTTCAAATTTGTTTAATTACGAATCCCTTTTTGTTAAATTAAATTATTTTGGACAGGATTTATTAAATTGACATTTATCAATCAATTTCGTTGTTCCAATCGATTGTTCGATAAAATTAAAAAAGGAATAGAATTGATTCTTCCTTCTTTGATTTCCTTTATTTTTAATAAAATTGATGATACCTCGATACAATTATATCCAAGTTAAAGTTGAACCATCCTCGTGAAAAAATAAGAATCGATTGTGAGATATATTTGCCTAGATACGGACCACTTGAGCGAGGCTCGAATTATCAGTATTATCTAATTTTTTAAAGAGCCAGGTTAAAGCGCGAGTGAAAGAAACCGGAAGTCATCAAGAGCGCGCAAAGTCGATGACGAAGCGGCATCATCGAGAAGGGCGCGATCGATGGCGTGTTAACCGCGTTGTGAACGTTACATTCGCGAAGTAAATCACTCTGATTTATTTCGAAGAATGTTGAACAAGTGATAAAAAAAAAAAGTTACGTATGCATGATTTGTTGAAGCGAGTATGTACGGGTGTGCTTAATTCGTAACAGCGACACTAGCGCCAGCATTTTGTACATATGTATGTATACTTTCCTAATTAACGAGAAATTTGTTATTTCATTTTTATTGTTGAGAAATTGTAAGGAATAAGGGAGCGGGAGTCCTGAGAAATGAAAGTGATATAAATGAAAAAATATTTAATAAATTGAATCATCATGAAACATCTGAAAAATTTAAAAATTCTCGGATGGAATTCAATTTTCTTCACGCAACTTTCATTTTAATGGACAAATACAAATTGAAACGATGTTGTTCGTTCGAAGGATGAAATATTCTTTGGAAAATTATTGGAAAGATTATTGGGAGGTGGATGGAAAATTGTGTTACGAATTAAGGATCGGATATTTGTAAAGCGACTCAATGGGCACAATGGGATATGAAAAAAAAAAAGAAAAAGAAAAACATAAAACTGCCAACCTAATCCCAAGCTCATCAATTAAGTGATAATGAAGAGAAGTTTTTAAAGCGATGGCAGCTAACGCGTTTTACATAAAGTTGTTTATTTTTTTTTCCGGGATTCAATGATCTATCCGCTCCATAGATCAAACAGCTCGAAGAGCAATCGAATGTCTCTGTATCGAGACAGATCGCGCAGTAATACTCGATAAAATCGACGTAAAATTCAAAGTTTTCTCCGACGGCAAAATTATGAAATATACGATATGCGTTTTACAAGAATGCGTTGTTCCTTTCATTTATATTCGCACTTTAAAGAAAGAAAAATTTTCTAAACGACTTTGTTAAATTATTACATTTATTTTATATCGTTTTAAATTTTATTCCCCTTTCAGATACAATATTAATTTCTTATCACAAAACGTGCATATATTTTTTCTCAGATAACCAGATGGATAACCAGAAAGTAATATTACGAAGGTAAGTGATACTTATTAATTAATTTCCATAAAATAACAAATTCTTCATTTATATCCAATAATACTAATATCTATGTAATGATTCTAGCTTTATAAAAAATCTAAAGTCAAGTTACAAAGCAAGAAAAAAACATTCATTAGTTTTAAAACATTCATTAGTTTTAAAAGTTTCTGAACACGCTCTCAGTTCATTTTAAAATCTTTCTCTGTTATCTTAAAGTCATGTAATATTTCGAATCTGTCCCCATGAAACCAATCCTTCGAAGGGATCGTAGAAATACATCGTGCCGAATCTCGAGTCGCATTCGAGAAGGGATTACCCTTTTTCCATCGGAAACGTCCACTTTCGTCGATCGTCTGGACAAACTGGCCCCCTCTAAGAACAAGTTCTACTATCAGATTCCAGGTAACCGGAGATTGAAGTTTCAAAAAGACAGCAGACGGGCACACAAACCACCCATGCTTCAATCTCGTCACCTGCGTCTGAGAGAATGCAGAGAGAGAGAAAAAGAAAGAGAGAGAGAGGAATCATCGACAGATTGGACGTCGCTCCATCGATCTTTGTTGATTCGATGGCAATTCTATTTATCCATCAATGCTTTCGAATCAGATTTCTCTCTGACGATCTATATTTTTCTTTCTGATCCGCCATTATTGGTCAAGTCTGTTCGATGATTCCAGGATGAAATGAGATAATTTAAGGATTGGCAAATTGACAAAATTTTAAATAAAGAATGAATTTGCAGAATTTACTTTTTGCTCGCCACGAATTAAGAGAAATGTTAGTGTTATGGATTTTAATATATTTGTACGTTTATTATTACGTCAACTCGTAAGTAATGTCAATTTAAAAGTATAATTTTAATAGAGAAATGTATATTTATATAAATATTTCAATCAGATTAATTGTGAGGATCATTTCTTATAATTAAGATAAATTTTTTATTAATTCTAGGTTAAAATATGGATTTAGCAATACATTTAATCGTTTATTATATCAGTATAAAGTGATCATTGATGGATCTGGTTAATAATTGTTCATTGATTGAATGACCATTCACTGTGACGATGATATCAATTATCAATTTTTTCTTAATATATCTACAATGTCTTTCGATTCAATTATATTCAACATTTCAAGCTCAAGGTGTTACTATTAGCGCAATATATCGTTCGAAATAGATCGAGTTTAACCAGTTGACGTTTGAATGATTCCAGTTGAGGAACAAGTAGACGCAGACTCAGGCAAGGGAAGATCAAACTAGTTTTCGAGACGATCGCGTGCACGTCGATCTCTTTTACGAGTTCTATGCTTCGTAAAATCGATTGCGAGCCATTGCATGAGCAGACAGGAAGGCTGATTAGACAATCCCTTTAAGTAACTCCATAGGAGAAGCTTACCTTATCTGGGTCAATTTCTTAAATTCTTTTATTCAAGATAACACTTCGATAAAACGTACATTCGTAATTAATCATTGAACGATTAAATTTATTTTTTTCAAAGAATCGAATTCGTGTTAAAATACCAACTTTTTCAATATTAAAGATAATTTTCATTAAACGCGATTAAAAATTATTTAACGTAATTCTTCAACATCAAGATAAAAATCTTTAAAAAATTCTCTTTCAACTATTAAATTCCAATTTGAAAATTTTAGTTTTCAATTTTTTTCTGCCACAATAACAAATAATCTTTCGAGTTATAACAATAAGAGAAATCTTATCGCGAATCAAGTTTAAAAATTCGAATGATATGTTTCCTCGAATCGTTTGAAAGTTACACGAAAGAGTTCAATCGTGTCTCGATCGAACTGGAATACGTAAACGACGAGAAGTTCTTGCGCACAAATTTATCGAGGAAACGACAATTTCCATCGTGTCGGAATAGATATGTTTCTTATTTTTATCCGAGCTTTATCTTCACCGAGGGATATAACCGTTCTCTTTCGTGTGCGAAATTTTAAACAAGTCAGGAATGATAAAATTGGAAAAGGCACTCGAGGCGCAATTTATAGAAACCGCAAATTGCAGAGGAAGCGATGAAACTGTTACGATTCATCCAGGGAGTTGAGTTTTCGTCAATAGAGCGTGTACAAGGGTGAAAAAGGAAAAATAAAAAGTGAATATTCTTTTACTAGGTAAGAAATTTTTATAGGTTATATTGCTTTGAATATTTTTGTGCCATAAAACATTCAAAAATCATTTTCATCGAGTCTAGAAAAATAATAAAAAAATAAATATGTAATTTTAATAAATGTTAAGGAATGATATTTCATAGAAGGCAACTTTTATTTCGTATTAAAAACTAGTATTTGGTACACGTAAATATTTTAGCCTTATATTTTATCTTGTTTTGTAATATTAAGAAATTAAAAATCTGTTTTTTTGCTGTTCCAGACAAAAAACCAATTTCAGTTGAAAATGAATTAAAATAAGACAAGACTCGTGTTTATAATTTAAAGAATTTTTCTTTTTACAAAATTCTTTTATATAAAAAAAAAAATAGAAAATCATAGAAAATATCTCCTCACATAATCAATCCTTTTAATCAAACTAATTTAACATTTTAAAATTATCCTCCATTATAAACTATTAAAAAACAATCAAACAACTCGGGACTGTATAATAACTCAACATACATAATTCACGCACCCACTAACAAAAAATGATAACGAATAAAAGAGAACAGCGAAACAAAGGCGGAAATAAAAAGGAAAGGACACGATGCCGGATAAAATTCTCGTTTGTTCACATTTAAAAACAGGCGGATACGCGTTTCAAGATGCGAATATTTTTCTTCTTATACAGCGCCTCTTTTCCGGTAAACACACCCCTTATCTCCACATCCCCTTTCCTCCATGTTTCTCGATCCACACCCCCTCCCACGCTCCCCTCTCGAGACGGAAATTAAAGTAAAAGAACAGACCACGAGCAGTTCGTTCGAATATTTTAAGAGGAAAGTTTCGAGGCGCGAATCGTGATCTAATAAGCCGAGTTCGTTGTCGTCTAACGATAAAAAAAAGAGAAAAGAGACAGGAAGGTGGCGCCGTTTTATGCTGCGACGCACGTCCTTATTACGCGATCTACGTAGATTTTAACGCGATGAAATTGTTATCGAAAATTTCCCCCCCCGAGACGTGACGGTGTTCCCGAATGGAGGAGCACAATAGGCGGCCATAAACGAATCTGTTTTTATTATGCGGTTTTTATTTCGCGGGGATAAAACGATCCCGGGGAAGGGATTCGTTTTTATCTTTATATCTATTGATGTTTGATACACGTATGAAATATTCAAGAATTGTTAGAATTTAGATGTGAATATTTTGAGATTATTTTCAGAAAAGTTTCATAAAGTATTTTTATATAAAATTTATTTTGTTATTTGATTGTAATAATCTGTTAAAAATTTTCTGTGAAATTTTACCTAAAGATATGAAAAGATA